CCCAACAAGACAGTTGACAGTGAACCTGATGTATTAACGAAGTGGCAAGTCACTGCTAGATATGCCTCCATATGCAGAGAGGTCCACATGGCTGAAGTCAGACAGACTACAGTGGCCTTTTGCACATCTTCCTTGGCCTTCTCCTTCTCCTCCAGATACCTTCTTTCCACCATATCCTTTAAGGTTTTTCTGGATGGCAGGACATAGTTTGGAGCAGCAAATTTTACTCAATCTCTGAAGCCCTCACCCTCCACAAATGAAAATGGCTGGCAGTCCTTAATTATCATGTCCACCAAGCATGCATCCAGAGCCTCCTTTGCAAATTCTGTAGAGAAAAAATAAAAGTTACAAATATTCTGTAATACATGACAATTCAGTGAAAGCTTAGGCAAAACATGAGTGCATGTGTGGGTCCCAGATACACATACTTAGAAGTTAAGACTCATAAATCTGACTATAGATAGCTACTCAATTCTCAAAGTGCAAATAGTAAGTGGCAATAAGAAGAAAAAGGAAAAAAGCCCAAGTTTAGTTGAAAGTTATTTAACCAGTGTATCTAAATAAATATCTAAATAACAACTGTGAAGAAAATAGTGCAGTGTAAGTGTTCAAGCCCTTAGTTTAAAGCAGGAACTGTTAAAATAATACCACTGCTGTTGCTGCTGCAACTTGGCTAGTGCAGTGCTTTGCACGATAGTGCCTCTGCATTGAAGTTGTGTTATTACAACATAGTTCACTTGAGCAAACCAAGCATTTAACCTGAGAAGAATATGAAACATGAGATGCTAAACAAATAAATAGGCTAAATAATTAAATATATAAATATTTTAATAAAACAAAATAACCCAAATGCACACCTTTAGGCATAGGCTAAATTTTACTTTGAATAAGCATACTAAAATAGATTTTCTGCAGCCCAGTTGTCAGCAGAATGTAGCCTAGAGGTAATAGCTTAATTGTAAATATATATAATATATATTTTACATATAAATGTAAAATAGTATGTCTATATTAACCTTTGTGTCAGAAATGAGGTCAAAATACTGCCACATTTCTGAACGTTTTCTTTCCACCACACTCCATAATGATTTGATTTCTTCAATCTGATCTCTGCTGCTCTCTGCTCTCCAAAATGCCACAACTACAACCCACGAGGAGGCGGACGCTTTGCCTCTCATTTGAAGCTTCGGACCTGCGCTTGAATCAGTGACGTACGTGTTGTATATCATGTAGCGCTGGACGTCACGTGTCACATGACTTGTCATAAATGAATGAAGCTTCGAGTAGTGAACTGTTTTCGTCATTGCTTCACAACACTTCATTTTCCCATCAGTACTGGCAGTCTTTCCCAGAGGTTTCACCAGGATACAACAAGGAGACTGGGGCAGAGACAAACACAGGTAAGTCCAAAAAGTTCACCAAAACAACAAACTAATGGATATATTTCCAAGAGACACACAGAGCACTACCAAACAGGACAGAATGATCTGGCAGAGTCGGTGGTGAGAAGACCAGGGCTTTGTACAGAGGTTCATGAAGGAATTGATTGCAGGTGTGTCTCATCTGCTCTGGGAGAAGCCATGCCCCCTGCCACACACAAGCTCTGTAAAAAACACACAGAGGGAGGGAGAGAGAACACAAAAAAACTAAGTCCTATCATTCTAACTTAGACATAGTTTTACCTAATTATTGGCTTTCTCTCATAGTTTGAGTTTAGAGTTATCACATGAGATTCTGTTATTAAAACTCTCTCTCTCTCTCTATATATATATATATATACATACATTGAAAATTTACTTTAAAAAGGAGCATTGTGTAATTTTTTTGGCTTTGTCTGGAATGTTTCACAGTATGAAACCTTTCTATCACCATGGAAACCAAACCAGACCAAGTTACAGGTCAGATCTGTGGAGAGGGCATCTTGCTCATGGTCAGAATGTCTATTTTTTATGTATTTTTGAGCTGTAAACCACCTGTAACTGAATGAATGTAAAGTAAAGCTGACCATAAAGTTACACAGTTTATGCTTTATGCTGCATTGTCCAGTTGTAGTGCAATTTTAAATGCTTTCTTTTAATCTCTCTCTATTTCTGCTTTTTTTTTTACAATATCTGTCCATTGTTCACCATAGACTGGAGCCTTCTAACGGTGCTACAAACAACCAATATAAGATTCCTGCTTATTTCCCAGTACCATACATGTGACTGTAAGAGTCTGGGGTTACTCATATCTGCATACGTGGAAGCATTAGTGATAATATGTGATAATTTAACATAATTTTACAAAAAAGGCAGTTTAAGCAGTAATTGAGCTCCCAGTCTTGATTCCATGTGAGTCATTTTGTGAGATGTGCAGTACTGGGCTCCAGGCTTGACTTGGGCTTGGTTCCATATCCAGAAATGTTGGTCCTAGGGATGATAATAATCTGGCAAAGTTTCATGCTTGTACCATAAAAGTGAACGATTGGGCACTTTTTTGGTCCTTAACAGCTCCACTATGTATATAAAAAAGGTACATTAAAACATATTTGAGCAATTGCTTATTTACATTAGAAGTGTAGAGTTTCTTGCAGTGTGCTCCCTCTCCTCTTCATGGAGTGCTGGAGACAGTGGTTTTACTAAAGTGGACACCGATATGAGAAAACTTATAATGCAAGACTGTAATAATAATACAGAGAAGGGCAATACATGTGCACTGGGAAGGATTTTCCAAAAAAGTGAGTGTAAACCGCATCTGAGCCGCTTTTATTGTTGCGGGTCAGTTCTGCTTTACCCCGATCTCCTCCACTTCCTTTAAGTTGTGGGGTCACCGTGTCACTGCCTCCTCCTCCGCTCCGTTGTGGCTGTGGCGTGGTCTGGGCGTCGGCAAACAATTCCAATAAACTTCTAAACTACGAATCCTACAACATCCACGATTAGGTGAGTGTTTTGCCACATTATCAGAACAAAGCCGATTTAATAATCACTTTCAACATTTCCGCTAAACTACTTAATTCTGTCAAAATCGCTGATACCACGTCTCCGATTTTCATAGAGCCTCCATACAGATTGATACAAACCGGGCCGTGTTTGGAGAGAAGATCACAACCCAAAATTCAAAGGTACCTGATTTTCCTTTTGTAACCCTAAGAAAGCTGAAATGAAGGTAACAGATTAACTAATGTAGTCGCTAAGTTTGTTTTCCACGGCTTTGATTATTTTGTGCAGTTTTAGCATGTTTTCCTGTGTTTGCTAAAACTCCGGTGGAGTTCATTTATTGAATTGAGCGTAGCTACGTATTCTAAATGATATTGTGCAATAATTTGAGTTTATTGGCCTCTGCTTGGGCATGTTTGATAACTTTTTGATTTAAGTGCACTTAATAATGATTAACTTAATAATGATTAACTTAATTGTGATTAACTTAGTGAATTTACTTTATTTATTAACTTACTTATTTTTTTATTTAATTTAATGATTTCACTTACTAAATTATTAACATATTCAATTATTGACTTGAATTCACTTACTGAATTGAACTGAATATTAATTGTAATTAATTGTAATTAATCAATTGATGGAATGGTTAACCCTTGGGTCATTAGTCAATGACTACATTTAATTAATTAATTTATTAATAATGTGTATAATGTGATATCTGGAATGTATTGATTAACTGAATATGAACTGTTCACTTATGAATACTTATTATATGCTTGTATGGTTATGCATACATTTAATTTATTTTGAGTTATTTAAGACCTGTTAATGTATTTAAATTATATTCATTTGTGTTTTTTGGTCTTTTAGGTCAGTTTTTTTTTTTTTTTTTTTTTCCTATGGACTGATTGAACTCCAGCTTCGCAGAAATTCTCAACTCAACTAGAAAAAGATTGATGACGAGCTTACCCAGAACCTGAACTAAGATTAACTTGAATCAAAATACCGAATAACTGGACTGTTTTTATTTTCTATTTTGTTTTTGTTATTGTTGTGCTCTCTAAGAATTTCTTTCAATATACTTCACCCAAATTTCAAATTCCTGTCTGCCTCTTCATTCACACTCAGGCTCCTAAAAGGACAATCTTCTGATGCAGCCTTTGTGGCCGTAGTCTGCCCCTAGCCCTAACAAATTTGAGTTACATGAGCATGTTTGATTTCACAGTGGGATGCGTCTATTGTCAAAGCTGATCTTTTCAAGTCTTTTGAACCATATCACTTTTGTTTCTGGTTCTGATAGTGTCATATTTTAGTTATGGGATTCCAACATTGTAATTGTGTGGTTGTTGGATGTCCTAACAGCAGAAAATGGGCTTCAGAAGTTTGCAAACTCTATAACTGCAAAAGGGAATCAGATCTGTGTGACTGCAAACCTCCGTTCAAACTGTTTCCCTCCCCAGCAGAACTGAAAAATAGTGAAAGGTGAAGGCTATGGGCAGTTCTGATACACAGGAAGGATGACAAAGGCAACCTTTGGCTGCCTAAGAAATCATTCTGAGTTTGCAGCAAACATTTTGTACATGGAGTGCCAACAAAACAAAATCAGCAGGCTGAGCTCGCACTTTCTTGTTTTAGTGACTTTGCAGCAACATCACGTCTTGGTCGCTTTGCAGTGGAAGGTGGTGCCTTTCGCTTTGGCGTTGACTTTTTAAATTCATAACCCACGTTAAGCGAGGGATCAGGATTTTGCTTTGATGGCACTTCACATACAAAATGTTCGCTGCAAACTCGGGATGATTTCTTAGGCAGCCTTTTTGGTCCTTCCTGTGTATCAATTTTTCAAGTCCGTTGGGAAGGGAAACAGTTTGAGCGGAGGTTTGCAGTCACACAGATCTGATTCCCTTTTGCATTTACAGAGTTCATAAACTCCTGAAGCCCGTTTCTCGAGCTGTTTTCCACTGTTAGGGCATCCAACAACCACACAATTGCAATGTCCGAATCCCAAAACTAAAATATGACAATATCAGAACCACAAACAAAAATGATATGGTTCAAAAGACTTGAAAAGTTTGGCTTTGACAATAGACGCACCCCATTGGGAAATCAAACATGGCGGTTTAATGCTCAGTTTTTTGTAGGATCCTTCCCAGTATGCATTGCGTGATGAATGGAAGTCCGAAATATGTGATGCATCTATTAAAAACCTAATAGAACAAGCGCTTTCTAATAGTGGCCTAACACTGGTGTCCTGTAACAGAATGCACTTTAGATGATACAAATCCACATTAATACTGAATTCACATTCACTGCACACTTACACCAAGTATTCTTTATGTGGACTACATCCCATTCACCTCAGTATTCACTGATTCACCAGCTCTAATCTGGGTGAGAAAAACAATATGACATTTATACTTGACATAACAGAGGACAAAAGAAAAAAGTGCAGTTAGTGTGTGAAATACAGAAGTTGGAGTTAGTCATAAGAGGAAGCCACTGAAAACTCACACAATTTAGAGCTTGACTGTCTACTCTGTTGTAGGTCTGCTGTTAAGAAGAGCACTAATAGCTCAGATCTTACTAATAGCTTTTATTTTTATTGCAAATTCTGAAGCTGTAAGGAACATGCTCATTCTATTTATACAACTTTTACTGCTGTGTTCAGGTGAGTTATTTTAATCCTCTTATTTTTTTTCAACCAAAACTTTAAATGTAGCATATAAAGCATAAAGAGTATTCACCTCACAATAACTGATCATGTGTATTTATAGTCAGGATTTGGAAGTACCGTATTTTCCGGACTATAAGTCGCACCAGATTATAAGTTGTGCTTTTGGGAGAAATGTATTTTGTAAAATCAGAGACCAGGAACTGACATTTCATCTTGAAAGTCAAGTTCTAGTAAAAACAACAGAACAGAGAACAACAGGCTGAATAGGTGTTAATATGTTAACATAACATATGAACAGTTATGTTCTGTTGTTTATGCTATAATTAATTGAATAAGTTTACCAAACTCACTCAGTCTCATTCCAACTCACTAAATCCATTGAATTCTTTCTCTGTGTCACTTCTGCACAACCTCCGGAGGTAAATCATAAATTCATGAGGTAAACAGAGCGCCACTTCCTCTTCTGTGTAACTGTCGTCAGGCTCAGCATCAGTTCCAGTTAGAATTATTCCGGCCTTTCTGAATCCACAGGATGGTTTCGATTGTCACTGAAGTTCAGGCTTTGTCGATTCATCCAGTGACTTCCAGGAAAGTTACATGGTGCACCCGCCCGGTTACCATGAAGCTGTACTCTCCATCCCCGCTTTCCGCCAGTCAACCACAAGTCGCAAGTCTCGCTCACTCCAAACTTTCTTTCTGCCGCTCGATTACTGTTTTCGGCTGAATATTTCACTATTTACAGTGAGACAGCAGCTTTTTCTACAGGAGGCATGTAGTAGAGTGCGAAGTGACAGTGGTACAGGAGTAAAAGTAATACTAGATACTGACACATGAGCCTAGAGCGCCCTCTCATGGCTGTCTGTCTGAAAGTTTTAACATATAAGTCACACCAGGACCACCCAAAACATGAAAAAAAAGTGCAACTTATAGTCTGAAAAATACAGTATATAAAAATGGCATCAATGATTATTTGGTGTATTTTCTGTTACTATAATTTAAACCCTGTGTATGTTTTACAGGTGCTGATTGTTGTCAACTAAGTGATCTGTTCATTACAACTCCACGTCAAATGGAGGCTCTGAGTGGCTCTTGTTTACAGATCCCATGCACCTATACTGCTCCATTCAAATACATAAAGAAAGCATTCCCTGCCACTGGCATGTGGTTTAAACAGAATTATGTGTATGGTACAAGTTCAGCGTTTTCAGTCAGTGGAAACCCCAATATGTCTTATCCTATGAATTTCACTGGGGATCTGAAAAACAAAGATTGCAATACAATGTTTTATAATTTAAGCCAAAGCCATGAAGACATATATTACTTTGGATTAGTAACAGAATTCTTTACAAACATAGCTGTTTTTAACCATCTTCAAATAACAGTCAGAGGTAAGACACTTTTTCCTATAATTTATTTGACTATTATAAAGCAGAGAGTGAACCCCGCATCTTCATTTTCTAAATTTTTATTTTAAATCTTCCAACTTCAAGTTATTTTGTGTAGTTTTCTTATTCAATTTAGAATATGTATGCGTATCTGATTGTTATTGTCATTACTCATTCATAAGGTTTAAATTTTAGTGAACTACTTTTGTTCTTTAAAATGACCATTACATAATTTTCTGATCTATGTTATAATGTGGAGGAGTTCAAGTATCGCAGGGTCGTATTCACGAGTGAGGGGAGGATGGAGCGTCAGATTGCCAGATGGATCGGTGCAGCGTCAGCAATGATGCAGTCACTGTATCAGACCGTTGTGGTAAAGCGGAAACTGAGCTGAAAGGTGAAGCTCTCGATTTGGTCATGAGCTCTGAGTAATGACCGAAAGGACAAGTGGATACAAGCGGTCGAAATGAGTTTTCTCTGCAGGGTGGTTGGGTGCTCCCTTAGAGATAGGGTGAGGGGCTCAGTCACACAGGAGGAGGAGGTGAGGTCAGGAGGTGTTCTGGGCATGTCCCACCGGGAGGAGGCCCTGGGGAGGACCCAGGACACGCTAGAGGGACTATGTCTCTCAGCTGGCCTGGAAACGCCTCTGGGTCCCCCCGGAGGAGCTGTAGGAAGTGTCTGTGGTGAAGAAAGTGTCTATATTCCCACAGCCCCCGTGTTCCCTCATTTCTAAGTTTTTTTTTGTTTGTTTGTTTTTTTCTTTCCTAAATTAGGCCCTACGTTCTCACATTATCCTTTATCATCAATTTGCATCAAATTTTATTCCCATTTCTCCCAATTTGGTCGTCAATTACACTCAACCTGTTCTCTAGCAGCAGGTGACTACAGATGTAATGTAGAGGTCATGGTGCAAAGGATCCTAGGGTGAAATGACTCTGAATCATCCCTTTAACACTTTAGGCGCCAGAGTTTTTTTCCCCAAAATGTTTGATTTTGACACTATTGTTAAGTCCTGGTTAAGTCCTGGTTCAGTCCTGGTTTAGCCCTGGCTTAGTCTTATTTTCATCCTGGTTTAGTCTTGGTTTAGACCTGGTTTAGTTCTGGTTCAGCGCTATTTTCATCATGGTTTAGTTTTATTTTCATCCTGGTTCAGTTCTGGTTTAGTCCTGGTTTAGACCAGGTTTATACCTGGTTTAGTCCTGGTTTAGCCCTATTTTCATCCTGGTTCAAACCTGGTTTAGCTTGATTAATATTTGACACCCTATTTGGCAAAATTGGCCATTTTATTTAGAGCGGGATCTCGTCAACTTAGTTGACAGTGGCGCCTAGAGGTATAAAAATAAAAATGTCCTGAATTAGACTTTCATTTTGAGAAAATTCTTAGAAATCAGAAAAATCTTAAAAATGTGGGAACATAGGGGTAAAGCTCACAAGAGTAAATTTAGTGTAATATAGGCCCTTTAATATGTTTTCCAAATGATTGTTTCTCTTCCCAGACTTTCCCAGGAGCCCCACAATCGAAGTCTCTGGTAATCAGACAGAGACAGAGGTGCTGACTATAACCTGCTCGGCTGTCACTCCCTGTCCACTCGCCCCTCCTCTCCTCACATGGGACCCCCACCAAGACACTGCCCACATCACAGAAACCAACGCAGACCGGACCCTTACCACTAAAATCACACAGAACATCAGTGTGACAGACGCCCATGATGGACTTGTGATAAAGTGTAACGCGTCGTATCCTGTGAGGCGAGGATTCAAAATGTCCAGCAGTAATGTCACCCTCAGTGTCTCATGTGAGTGAAACACGCTGATGGACTCTGTTATCATAATAAAATGTATTAAAACTGCAAGAAGATGTCATTGCTTTTCTGAAATGTTCCACAGTAGTGCATCTTTTCTGTGCGTCCTCAGATGGCCCAAAAGACACCTCTGTTGCGGTCAGTCCGTCCGGTCCACTGTCAGCAGGTGAGTCAGTGGCGCTGAGCTGCTCCAGCAGAGCCAAACCTCCTGTCCACCTCTTCACCTGGTTCAGACACAGTCCAAAGGGAGCAGCCCGAGTGAGCCAGGGACACACGTACAGCTTCAACTTCACTCAAGACGGACAGTACTATTGTGTGGCCTCAAATACACTGGGAAACGAAACATCTGCGGTCATTACACTGAGTAAAACAGGTATGTCACTCAGTATTCTCTCAAGATTTTTTGATTTCATGTATTTATTTTGGACAAGCAGACATTTACATTCTCATACAATGGCACATATAACATAAATAAAATAAAATAACCACAACAAAAAATTTGCCCAAAAAAGAGTGGGAAGAATATGTATTTAAAGGTTGTATGTAGGATTTTTTTTTGTTTCAAATTGTCAGTTAAAGTTTAAAACACCATTACAGAGAAGCAGCATCCTTGTAATTATGATGACCAAAAAAAAAAAAAGAATGAAAATCTATCAACTGTGGACGTGTTGTGGCCAGATAAACATCAAGCCAATAGATAATGAGGCTCCCTCTTTATCTATTGGCTGTTGGGTTGTTAATCAAACTCCCTACGTTTCTAGTGTAAAACTGACTCGGGATTATGTGGTTTATGCAGCAGTTCTTAGAGGCTTTTTCAGGCTTCCTTGCAGTTTGCACAAAGTTTGTTGCGATGGTGGACGAGAATCCATGACTGGTTCACCGCAAAAGAAAGTCCATTTTTTAGGTCACTGAAAGAAGAAGAGAAGGGGAAAAGGAGTGAAGACAAACTGACTGTGACTGAAACAGATGAAGGGTCTTAAAACTGACACGCTGGTCACTAAATTACATCTAGACAGGTCACTTCAGAAGTAATTCTAGATGCGTGCTGGCTGTAAACATGCAGGATTTCTAGAGTAAGGAGGCAGGAGGAGGTGTTTCTACTGAGGGAGCTGTAGAGGAGGGAGGTGGTGTCACACATGCACAACATTTGAAAAAGGACTGTCACTGTATTTCTCTTCCCTTAAAAAATTCTCTATACAACCTTTAATCCTACCGCGACTCTTCTAATCTAACACAATGAGCTTTCTTTTGCTTTTTTCAGACATTTTGCAAGAAGCTGCATATAAGATAACTTTTATTTCAGTAAATAATCCGAATAGCCTGTCTACATGCACACACACACACGCACACGCGCACATGCACATGCACACACACACACATATGCACATACAAAAGCACACACACATAATGTCCACACTGTCACCAGCCCATCACCGTTGTCCTTATTTGCATGTAATCTTTGATCGTAATGTTTGTCTTGTATCTTGTATCTTATTTTGGTTCCCATTTCTTAATGTAATGTAATGGGAAAAAAAAAAAAGAACCTTTATTTGGTGAAATTCCAGATGGGAGATTCTGTCCTTTGTCACGTGCTGCAGGTGTGAACCAGAGAGGTGCCATCAGATGACCCTCTGTGGTTTTACATCATACATAAAGGCTATTTTCAGACTGCAGGGCTTAATGCTCAATTCAGATTTTTTTGTGAAATCCTTTTTTTTTCTTGCGAGATCCTTCACATTTCCAATTAAATGCGACTTGTATGTGATCTCCAGTGTGAACTTTAAATGCCTCCAAAGTGTCATGTGCGTTGGAGGACACGATGACGTCATACGCAGCGAGTGTGCTCAGTGTTTACGGAAGTCGCTTAAAAGCTGGGCTTGTCTCCCAAAATCTGGTCCAGTTCTTGGTAAAATGGACAGGTTACACGTCCATGGCTACTTCGTTTGTTTGAGACTCTTGTATTTGGCTCACAGGTTCTTTTATTTTTGTTGATATTTCGATAATACCCCACTGGCCTAAATACAGTGATCCCCCCAAATATTAATAAACTCTCTAACCTCGCTTTCTCTCCATTGACTAGACTCCGGGCTTGACGTTTAGGTGGGATGAATGTGACCTGACCGTTCAGACTGCAGTCGCATGTCAAAAGATCGGATATGTATCAGTTTAAGGAGCACATATCCAAGTTAGTGGAGCAGTTAAGGACCAAAAAAGTGCCCAATTGTTCACTTTTATGGTACAAGCATGAAACTTTGTCAGATTATTATCATCCCTAGGACCAACATTTCTGGATATGGAAGGCTCCAGTCTGTGTGGGGAACAATGGAGAGATATTGTGAATAGGTAGAAACAGAGAAAGATTTAAAAAGAAAACATTTAAGATTGAACTACAACTGGACAATGCAGCATAAGGCATAAAGGTGCACTATATAACTTTTTGGTCGGAGTCCACCACCTGCTTGTTTCTATGGATATGTCATTGCTCTCCCTGGAATGTTCCACAGTAGGACATTAAATAGCTCTACTTTACATTCATTCAATTACAGGTGGTTTTACAGCTCAAAAATACATAAATGACCTCTAACTTGGTCTGGTTTCATTTCCATGATAAGAAAAAACACTGTGACACATTCCAGATAAAGCAATGACATCTCCATTTGATGAACCCTCCACCAGAAAAGTTACACAATGCACCTTTTTAAAGTAAATTTTATACATGGTATTGCAAAGAAAGAAATAGTCGCATAGTTAGAAGGCTACGTTCAATATAGTAAACAAAGCATACATAGAGAGATTTTAAAAAGGCATTTAATATTACAACAAATACATCTGGACAATGCAGACATTAGGCTTCAGTGTATGGATAATGGATCCTAATTTAAGTAAGTTTTTCAGGTAAAAATATGTATAAAAAGTATATTACTTTAATTGAATCTTATAAAGACATACAGTAATACAAAATACATATACTTTAGTGCAAATTCAATACAAAAAGGAATCACTTCATAAGGCCTTGTATTCTAGTTTATTTCTTTCTTTCATTTGGTTCGTGTATGTACGGTATTTGGAATATATAAGTATTTAAAAGAAGGCTTTTAAAATTGTAGCAAAATACTACATCTGGTAAATACACAAAATGAGCTTCAATGTGGACAATGAAGTAAGTAGTACCACAAGGTCATTAAATGTACTTCTTACAAAAAGACTTGAACAAGGGCTTTCTCTGCAATAACTGAATCTGATTAATAATAATCTGAAGAATCCGTGTATGATTCGTTCATTCGTTTTTCATTATAAAACCAAAAATAAGAAAACGAAAAAACAACAGTTTTCTTCATGGACCAGACCGGGACCAGAGCGGGACTGAGACAGAGACCAGACCGAGACTGAGATCAGAACTGTAACCGGGACCAGACCGAGACTGAGACCAGACTGGGACCGGAGCAGGACTGAGACCGAGACCAGACCGAGACCAGACCGAGACCAGTCTGAGACTGAGATCAGAACTGAAACCGGGACCAGAGCAGGACTGAGACCAGACCAAGACCAGAGCAGGACTGAGACCCAGACCAGACCGGGACTGAGACTGAGATCAGGCTGGGACCATACCAGAGGCTCAGTGCCCCCCGCAGGGCCGGAGCTCGAAGCTGAGGCTCAGACCCCGTGGAGGCTCAGAGTCAAAGCTCAGAGTCCGCTCGGAGTCCGCTCTGGTCCTGCTTTGGTCCCGGACCTGGATCAGTCCTGGTTCAGTCTGTATGCATCACGGAAGTCACGTAAACAGGAAACGGCCATTATCCGTTTTTTCCATTCTTCATTTAAACACAAAATCGAAAACTGAAAAAAATGAATCATTATCCGTTTTTTCATTTTGGTTTTGGAGACAAATAATGAAGAAAACTGTTGTTTTTTCTTATTTTTGGTTTTCTATTGAAAAACGAATGAACGAACGATACAGGGATTCTCCATCTCGGTCTTTGCTCTTCCTGTACTACACTTTTCTGGACTGAGAAGCCTGATATTTTTCCTGGTATCTGCTGTAGCCTCCTCCAGTTTGGGGGTACAGTCCCGAGTAATCCGAACACCATAGGCACCACTGATGCCTTCACCTTCCAGGCCTTCGCCAGCTCCTCCTTGAGCCCCTGGTATTTCTCTAGTTTCTCATGTTCCATTTTCCTGATATTACCATCACTTGGTATTGTGATGTCCACCACCACAGCTTTGTTCTGTTCTTCTCCACCACCACTATGTCTGGTTGGTCCATCACCATCCTGTCAGTCTGTATCTGGAAGTCCCACAAGATCTTGGCTCAGTCATTCTCCACAACTTTTGGAGGTGTTTCCCACCTTGATCCTGGGGTCTCCAGCCCGTACTCTGCACAGATGTTTCTGTACATTATGCCTGCCACTTGGTTATGTCGATCCATGTTTGCTTTCCCTGCAGCATCTTACACCCTGCAGTTCTGTGCTGGACTGTCTCAGGAGCCTCTTTGCACATTTTACACCGTGGGTCTTGTCTGGTGTGATAGATCTGGGCCTCTATTGCTCGAGTGCCCAGGGCCTGCTCCTGAGCAGTCAGGATGAGCCTTTGTGTGTCCTTCAGACCTGCCCTCTCAAGACATCGGGAGGATTTTTTTAAATATCAGCCAGTTCAGCTATGTTTTGGTGGTATGCTGCCATGATGGTCCCTCCAGCACCTCTTTCTCTGAACTCCAGTGTCTGAGACATTCTTTGAGCACGTCATCTGTCGGGGCCTTGTCCTTAATCGGAATTAAAATTCTCATGCTTGTACCATAAAAATGAACTATTTTGGTCCTTAACAGCTCCACTAAGTAGCCTGGGTCACAACTGAAAAAAATTTAATCTGTGTCATTCAGACTGTCATTAAAAGATCAAATACAGGAGCCTTCAGGCTGCAGTCTGAACGTAACCTTAGTTATGCACTTACACCTGTGTAATTCTTCTGAATAATAAATATCAAAGTGCTAATTATACAAGAATATGAAAAAGAGATAAGAGATGAAACAAAAGTTCATTCAGACTGAATGATCTTTAACTTTAGAACCTGGTGTTGTGAGTTGGATTGGCCCCTACAACGTCGTGAAGCTCTGTGGAATTATACTGCTCTACGGCTCCCTGGTCCTTTTTGAATGGTGAGACTAAAACTTGACTCTTGTGAGGTTTAAGCCATGTTCTAATGCTGTTACCTCCTCGAAAACAGACCTGGAGTTGTGTTTTGTTTCACACATGTTTGAACAGCCCTTTATTACTATCGTATTTTTCGGCTAGCACTCATGCCTCACAGCAAAAAGGTTCTGGGTTCGATCCCTGCGTCTTCCGGGCCTTTCTGTGTGGAGTTTGCATGTTTCTCCCCGTGTTGGGTTTCCTCCGGGCACTCCGGTTCCCCCCATCAACCCAAAACATGCTGCAGGTCTCCATAAACAGTTGATGTCAAGGTCAGTGAAATACAATCAATTCAATCATTGTGTGTCCTGACCCAAGACACTTCACCCACATTGCCTAGTATGAAATTGGTGTGTGTGTGTGTGTGTGTGTGTGTGTGAGTGATGGTGGTGGTGGTCAGAGGGGACCGATGGCGCTGATTGGCATGGCAGCCGCTTCTGTCAGTGTGCCCCAGGGCAGCTGTGGCTACAATAGTAGCTTACCATCACCAGGGTATAGAGTGAATGAATAATGCTGAATAATGCTCTGTAACGTGTCTTTGGGGACAGAAAATATCTGTGAAAAGCGCTACATAAATAAAGACTTACTTATGTTCTGTTGTTTATGCTATAGTTATCTGAATAACTGCTATTATGTTAACGTATTCATGCCTATTCAGTCTGTTGTTCTCTGTTCTGTTGTTGTTACTATAACTTGCCTTTCAAGATGAAATGTCAGTTCCTGGTCTCTGATTTTATAAAATAAATTTCCCCAAAAAGTGCGAAGTATAGTTCGATGCAAATTATATATGTTTTTTTTTCTTCTTCATTGCGCATTTTTTGGCTGGTGCGACTTATATTCCGAAGCGATTTATAGTCCAAAAAATATGGTAGTCTGTCTCTGGCTCTTAGCTTTAGTTCAGTGGAGAGGGGGCTGAAATGAACCAAATGATTCTAGTGAAGGTGTATGAGGTGTAAAAACATAGTGGAGCACTTCCTGTATTACCGTGTGACACAAGATGGAACAGAGTGTATTGTGTAACAGAAGGACATGACTTAAATATGCAGGGTTTGTGTGTTAAACATGTGAATGAAACAAAACACAACTCCAAGCCTGTTTGTTATGAGGATTCTAACACAGCAGATCAGAAAACAACGTAATATGGGCCTATGGGTTAAAATGAAATTCTTTTTTTTTTCCAGCTGGTTTAGAACAACTTATGCAAAGAAACAGGAACAGGTAAAAGTGTAATACCTCTTTGTCATGCTATATTTAACTAACTTCTCTTTGCCTTGTTGTTCACAGAGACCAGATGCAAATGTCCGCAGTGCCATTCCAAGTCAATCTTAAAACTTGTTTTTTTTTAAAACTGGCTTATGTTGTATTTTATCATACACCTGCAAACCAATACATACTAGAGTCGGCTTATATTGAATAGTGCTTATGCATTTATATGGCAGAAAGTTAGTGCAGTTTATAGTAGGTCTAAGTAGGGCTGGGTACTGAAGCTTGGTTGCAAGTGGGAAAGAACCAAAAAGATTCAGTAAGTACTGCTACCGAAAAAACTAACATCCCAACTTTTGGTTCTTTGGCTTTACATGTCCACATCAATGAGCCACGAACAGAGTTCCCACTCTTTTTCACTGAGAACATTTCAAAACTTTTCCATGACTTTTTCATGACCTAAAGTAAATTTTCCATGACTTTACGGCACCTACATGTGTAGAATTTATCATACTTTTAGGGCTAGATATGAAATGTTAACCCTTTCCACGCACCTTATGGTTTGGGATAGTAGTTTTTTAACATTGAAAATCCTATCAGTGCATTTATTGTTGTCTCTTTTAAACAAAAGGCACATACCTTCAGAAATAATAATGGTCTAATGAGAACTTAACAGAACGCTGTAGTTGTGTCAAAGACATACTGAAATTCCATGACTTTTCCAAAACTTTCATTAAATTTACAAAATCCCATGACTTTTCCAAGCCTGGAAATTACATTTTTAATTTCCATGACTTTTCCAGAATTTCCATGACCGTGGGAACCCTGCAGTAAACACACCAATTTATCAATACGTGTAGTTAATAAGATTAACTGAGATTCAGGAGCAGGACCACGCCTCCTGACCACACACACTGACAAAAATTTGGTTAAATAAAACAAAAGTAATGTGGCAGTACAACATAAAAACTGAAATGAAATTCCTTTTCTTTCTCTCTTCCTTTTTTTCTCTCCCATTTTTCCTATACTTAAACTAATATTATTTTCACCATCATCATTTCCTTTCATCATCTTTTACTATTTATTACAAACTCAAAGCATCATTTTAAAGACATTTTCCCTCCCTCATTTTTAAATAAACATTTTTAATCCCTATACTTAAACTGAATTAACATAGTTATAACATAATTCAATGATTGAAAAGTATTTTATTAATAATATTGGCTATTAATTTACATTTTAAAAAATACAGGCTCCAAAAAAGGATCGTTCAGGAACCAGTATCGGTATTATTAAAGTACTGGTATCGAAAATAATAATAATAATAATAATCAAGCGGTACCCAGCCTTATGTTATTCCTGAGTCAAACTCTTCTAATTTGTCAAGAACTAATTCCAGCCTGATGAAGAAGCTCTGAAGACTGTGTTGGCTCACTCGTGCCATCACTGATCACACAAAGTTAACGTTATCTTTGATTTTCTGCTCTTGTTATATGAAATAAACTCTAAGTGTAAATAAAATACCTCATGTTCATTCAAGTGATGAGGATATCTTTTTCCGCTGTACTTTTCCAAATGTCTCAAGACAATAGCAGCAATTTTGGCCTGTTATGAATTCCTCTCCATGATGTAATGGGTAAAGTTTAGGTGCAATTCATTTTGTAACCAGAAAGGAACTTCAGGTCAGAGGATCGATTTCCGCTCGGACCAAGTTCTGCCGTTGTGTTCTTAGGTGAGACACTTCACCTGCATTGACTACGGGGAGGATATGGCACAGGAGTCAGTGGGACCACGGATCAGGCAGAGCAATGTGTGGGTCTACACGGTACAGGTCACTTCTTCACAATATCTGACTTACCTTTAGAGTGGAAATTTTTATCTTTTTATTCAACAGAAATGTGCAAAATTTAATTGCCATTGGATGTAGCCTTAGTTGAGGAGTAAGTGTCAGTCTTAAATTGATGTAGGTTTTTGTTGCGATATTAAAAATAATGAGTAGGGTATCTCATATTGTTGTCTTTTTAAAGAGGATGTATTAGGCAATTATTATTATTGTTTTAACTTTCTACCATGTTATAATGTTCTGTGGTGGATACCTTTCATTTACATTAAGTGTATTATGGCATACATAATTTAATTCTTTGTCTAGTTAGTTAGTGGAGCTGTTAAGGACCAAAATAGTTCGCTTTTATGGCACAAGCATGAAACTTTGCCAGATTACGAATGCCCCCAGGACTAATATTTCTGGATATGGAACCAAGTCTAATTCAACACTGGAGCTGAGAACTGCACATGTCACAAAATGGACTACATGAAACTAGGCTGGCATAAAAAAAAAAACAAAACACACTGCATAATCCCTTTCTTATAGTCTAATTTACTTGGTTATCAATTTTGTAATGTTGAACAACATTTTTTTCTAAACTCCAAAGCATTAAAGAGGTCACCTTTTCCATGAGAATGTAAGGATTGTGTGGGTTCCCTGTAGTTGAAAGTTACCACCGGACCATAACTGAAGTGGCTGATATCAAGAAATCTTACCAATGGCTTGAGAGGGCTGGTCTGAAGGACACACAAAGGCTCATCCTGGCTGCACAGGAGCAGGCCCTGAGCACTCGAGCAATAGAGGCCCTGATCTCCCACACCAGACAAGACCCACGGTGTAGGTTGTGCAAAGAGGCTCCTGAGACAGTCCAGCACAGAACTGCAGGGTGTAAGATGCTGCAGGGAAATCAAACATGGAGCGACATAACCAAGTGGTGGGCATAGTGTACAGAAACATCTGTGCAGAGTACGGGCTGGAGACCCCATGGTCAAGCTAGGAAACATCTCCAAAGGTTGTGTGGAGAACGACCGAGCCAAGATCCTGTGGGACTGTGGTGATGGACCAACCAGACATAGTGGTGGTGGATAAGAACAGAACAAAGCCAAGAGATGGAACATCAGGAAAAAGGAACACGAGAAACTAGAGAAATACAAGGGACTCGAGGAGGAGCTGGAGAAGGTCTGAAGGTGAAGCATCAGTGGTGCCTGTGGTGATCAGAGCACTCAGGGCTGTAACCCCCAAAACTAGGGATGGGCATTCGATAAACATTTTCTTCATCGAACATAGGGAGAATGAACGATTAATTATCAATTAATCATTAACGTTTTTATATTAAAATGATCATCATTATTATTACTATCTCCACTACCAATCTGCATAAATAAATTCAACTTTACGACATATAAACCGTAACCACTATAGAGCCACAACAGCCCGTTTGATATTATGTGTATAAACTTTGTGCAAGTCTCACAGAAACGAAACTTAAAACCGCATGGCTCATTTGCATAAACTAAGCAAAGAAAAAACAGCTCTTGTGCACCGATGTGGTCAACTTCTGTCGGACTAAAGGACACGACTCAGTGGAATACAGGCTAGTGTGACCATATTTGCGTTTGTCAAAACCAGGACACCGTACGGGGGGTGGGAGGTGGAGAGGGAGGGAGGTGCCTTGTCGTCGACATTNCTGTGTTGGCTCACTCGTGCCATCACTGATCACACAAAGTTAACGTTATCTTTGATTTTTCTGCTCTTGTTATATGAAATAAACTCTAAGTGTAAATAAAATACCTCATGTTCATTCAAGTGATGAGGATACTTTTTCCGCTGTACTTTTCCAAATGTCTCAAGACAAATAGCAGCAATTTTGGCCTGTTATGAATTCCTCTCCATGATGTAATGGGTAAAGTTTTTAGGTGCAATTCATTTTGTAACCAGAAAGGAACTTCAGGTCAGAGGATCGATTTCCGCTCGGACCAAGTTTCTGCCGTTGTGTTCTTAGGTGAGACACTTCACCTGCATTGACTACGGGGAGGATATGGCACAGGAGTCAGTGGGACCACGGATCAGGCAGAGCAATGGTGTGGGTCTACACGGTACAGGTCACTTCTTCACAATATCTGACTTACCTTTAGAGTGGAAATTTTTATCTTTTTATTCAACAGAAATGTGCAAAATTTAATTGCCATTGGATGTAGCCTTAGTTGAGGAGTAAGTGTCAGTCTTAAATTGATGTAGGTTTTTGTTGCGATATTAAAAATAATGAGTAGGGTATCTCATATTGTTGTCTTTTTAAAGAGGATGTATTAGGCAATTATTATTATTGTTTTAACTTTCTACCATGTATTAATGTTCTGTGGTGGATACCTTTCATTTACATTAAGTGTATTATGGCATACATAATTTAATTCTTTGTCTAGTTAGTTAGTGGAGCTGTTAAGGACCAAAATAGTTCGCTTTTATGGCACAAGCATGAAACTTTGCCAGATTACGAATGCCCCCAGGACTAATATTTCTGGATATGGAACCAAGTCTAATTCAACACTGGAGCTGAGAACTGCACATGTCACAAAATGGACTACATGAAACTAGGCTGGCATAAAAAAAAAAACAAAACACACTGCATAATCCCTTTCTTATAGTCTAATTTACTTGGTTATCAATTTTGTAATGTTGAACAACATTTTTTTCTAAACTCCAAAGCATTAAAGAGGTCACCTTTTCCATGAGAATGTAAGGATTGTGTGGGTTCCCTGTAGTTGAAAGTTACCACCGGACCATAACTGAAGTGGCTGATATCAAGAAATCTTACCAATGGCTTGAGAGGGCTGGTCTGAAGGACACACAAAGGCTCATCCTGGCTGCACAGGAGCAGGCCCTGATCTCCCACACCAGACAAGACCCACGGTGTAGGTTGTGCAAAGAGGCTCCTGAGACAGTCCAGCACAGAACTGCAGGGTGTAAGATGCTGCAGGGAAATCAAACATGGAGCGACATAACCAAGTGGTGGGCATAGTGTACAGAAACATCTGTGCAGAGTACGGGCTGGAGACCCCATGGTCAAGCTAGGAAACATCTCCAAAGGTTGTGGAGAACGACCGAGCCAAGATCCTGTGGGACTGTGGTGATGGACCAACCAGACATAGTGGTGGTGGATAAGAACAGAACAAAGCCAAGAGATGGAACATCAGGAAAAAGGAACACGAGAAACTAGAGAAATACAAGGGACTCGAGGAGGAGCTGGAGAAGGTCTGAAGGTGAAGCATCAGTGGTGCCTGTGGTGATCAGAGCACTCAGGGCTGTAACCCCCAAAACTAGGGATGGGCATTCGATAAACATTTTCTTCATCGAACATAGGGAGAATGAACGATTAATTATCAATTAATCATTAACGTTTTTATATTAAAATGATCATCATTATTATTACTATCTCCACTACCAATCTGCATAAATAAATTCAACTTTACGACATATAAACCGTAACCACTATAGAGCCACAACAGCCCGTTTGATATTATGTGTATAAACTTTGTGCAAGTCTCACAGAAACGAAACTTAAAACCGCATGGCTCATTTGCATAAACTAAGCAAAGAAAAAACAGCTCTTGTGCACCGATGTGGTCAACTTCTGTCGGACTAAAGGACACGACTCAGTGGAATACAGGCTAGTGTGACCATATTTGCGTTTGTCAAAACCAGGACACCGTACGGGGGGTGGGAGGTGGGAGGGGAGGGAGGTGCCTTGTCGTCGACATTGAGCGACTCTCACCCGGCAAAGCTTTTGTGTCCTGATTAGCTTTTTCCCACTGGACACAGAAACATATGTGCTGCTTTGTACACTGTGCACATGGCCTCCCACTTGTCTCAATCAGAACGGAAAGTGGGGAATTTCTTGTACAAGTCATTGTTAAATATACATTTGTGCTTCGGCATGTTGCAGGCTGACCGACTGTTTGTGTCTGATCGCTCCTTCTGAGTGCAGAGAGCTACGAGAGCCGCTCAGTTTAATGGCCCAATGAAAGGTAATGAAAACCTGAACATTTGCATCACTTTATAAAAAAAAACCCGGACAGCCAGGACAGGACATGGAAAACGGATGTTTTGGTCACCCTATGCTACGCACAAACAACCTACACTCGGTTTGTCGATTAAAAATGAACGTAATCAACGAAATTCTTAATGATCAATTATTGATTAATCGCCTAATCATGCCCATCCCTACCCCAAACTGGAGGAGGCTACAACAGATCCCAGGAAAAACAACAGAACATCTCATTCTGAAAAAGTGCAGTACAAGACAACAAGAACAGCAAAGGTCACGCACTCCCAGGCCTCTGGGAGAGGAGGCGAGCTGGATGAGAGAGACCAACCAAACCAACAAAAATACATACATTAAACAAGTGCATTATGTATGTTTTCAGATGGAGGGTCCTTCAGATGCTTTTACCATGGAGATGTTCTTGCTGAGAAAGCCGTTGGTACAGAGAAAGCACTTGTTCATATAAGTAGGTAGTCTATTTAAAAACCTTTAATATCCTTAATGCAACCTCATTTTACCATGAGTAGTTTTATGTATTTTAGCATGTTAGTGTGTGTGGGTGTGTGTGTGTGTGTGTTTGTGTTGTTTGGTTGTGTGGAGTCGGGCAGTTGTGTGTGTTGGGTTCGGTGGAAATACGGGATTGTTTTTAATCTCTGTAAAGCACTTTGTGTTACATTTTTGTTTTAGAAGTGCTTTATAAATAAAGTTTTATTTGATTTGATTTGATAAAAGTACTTCAAGAGTGAAAAAATGCATAGCACACTCAGATGGTTGATGTCCAAAAGTTTATTTATTTTTAAAATAACGTTTCGGCAAAAAAAGCCTTCATCAGATATTTTTCTTGCTTTGAACCACAGCACACAGAATGGTTGCCAACCCAGGTGCCCATACACCCCTTCAATGAATGGGAGGTCCCAAAGTGAGGTCACCCAGTGGGTTCAGCCCACTCTACAACAAGAAACAACAGTTTAGATATTTACATAAAAAACATTTTATAAAATACAGAATAATAAAATACAGAAAAAGTCCATCACAGAAAACATCTTAGATCAAACTCCACATTCAGTCCGTGAGGAGTGAGAGTCTTAAGTTGGTGAATCCAGAAGTGTTGTCTTTTTGACTGGAGCATTTCTAGATTCACCACAGGAGAAGGTGATCATATAAATCACAGACTTGGTGTTGCAGGATATAATTCCTCTGATCAGTATTTCTTTGCCAGTGTGAGGGTGTTTAAAACTGTTGCAGTGATACTTGTAGTTACACTTACACTTATTTTTTTTCAACCAAAACTTTAAATGTAGCATATAAAGCATAAAGAGTATTCACCTCACAATAACTGATCATGTGTATTTATAGTCAGGATTTGGAAGTACCGTATTTTCCGGACTATAAGTCGCATCAGATTATAAGTTGCGCTTTTGGGAGAAATGTATTTTGTAAAATCAGAGACCAGGAACCGACATTTCATCTTGAAAGTCAAGTTCTAGTAAAAACAACAGAACAGAGAACAACAGGCTGAATAGGTGTTAATATGTTAACATAACATATGAACAGTTATGTTCTGTTGTTTATGCTATAATTAACTGAATAAGTTTACCAAACTCACTCAGTCTCATTCCAACTCACTAAATCCATTGAATTCTTTCTCTGTGTCACTTCTGCACAACCTCCGGAGGTAAATCATAAATTCATGAGGTAAACAGAGCGCCACTTCCTCTTCTGTGTAACTGTCGTCAGGCTCAGCATCAGTTCCAGTTAGAATTATTCCAGCCTTTCTGAATCCACAGGATGGTTTCGATTGTCACTGAAGTTCAGGCTTTGTCGATTCATCCAGTGACTTCCAGGAAAGTTACATGGTGCACCCGCCCGGTTACCATGAAGCTGTACTCTCCATCCCCGCTTTCCGCCAGTCAACCACAAGTCGCAAGTCTCGCTCACTCCAAACTTTCTTTCTGCCGCTCGATTACTGTTTTCGGCTGAATATTTCACTATTTACAGTGAGACAGCAGCTTTTTCTACAGGAGGCATGTAGTAGAGTGCGAAGTGACAGTGGTACAGGAGTAAAAGTAATACTAGATACTGACACATGAGCCTAGAGCGCCCTCTCATGGCTGTCTGTCTGAAAGTTTTAACATATAAGTCACACCAGGACCACCCAAAACATGAAAAAAAGTGCAACTTATAGTCTGAAAAATACAGTATAAAAATGGCATCAATGATTATTTGGTGTATTTTCTGTTACTATAATTTAAACCCTGTGTATGTTTTACAGGTGCTGATTGTTGTCAACTAAGTGATCTGTTCATTACAACTCCACGTCAAATGGAGGCTCTGAGTGGCTCTTGTTTACAGATCCCATGCACCTATACTGCTCCATTCAAATACATAAAGAAAGCATTCCCTGCCACTGGCATGTGGTTTAAACAGAATTATGTGTATGGTACAAGTTCAGCGTTTTCAGTCAGTGGAAACCCCAATATGTCTTATCCTATGAATTTCACTGGGGATCTGAAAAACAAAGATTGCAATACAATGTTTTATAATTTAAGCCAAAGCCATGAAGACATATATTACTTTGGATTAGTAACAGAATTCTTTACAAACATAGCTGTTTTTAACCATCTTCAAATAACAGTCAGAGGTAAGACACTTTTCCTATAATTTATTTGACTATTATAAAGCAGAGAGTGAACCCCGCATCTTCATTTTCTAAATTTTTATTTTAAATCTTCCAACTTCAAGTTATTTTGTGTAGTTTTCTTATTCAATTTAGAATATGTATGCGTATCTGATTGTTATTGTCATTACTCATTCATAAGGTTTAAATTTTAGTGAACTACTTTTGTTCTTTAAAATGACCATTACATAATTTTCTGATCTATGTTATAATGTGGAGGAGTTCAAGTATCGCAGGGTCGTATTCACGAGTGAGGGGAGGATGGAGCGTCAGATTGCCAGATGGATCGGTGCAGCGTCAGCAATGATGCAGTCACTGTATCAGACCGTTGTGGTAAAGCGGAAACTGAGCTGAAAGGTGAAGCTCTCGATTTGGTCATGAGCTCTGAGTAATGACCGAAAGGACAAGTGGATACAAGCGGTCGAAATGAGTTTTCTCTGCAGGGTGGTTGGGTGCTCCCTTAGAGATAGGGTGAGGGGCTCAGTCACACAGGAGGAGGAGGTGAGGTCAGGAGGTGTTCTGGGCATGTCCCACCGGGAGGAGGCCCTGGGGAGGACCCAGGACACGCTAGAGGGACTATGTCTCTCAGCTGGCCTGGAAACGCCTCTGGGTCCCCCCGGAGGAGCTGTAGGAAGTGTCTGTGGTGAAGAAAGTGTCTATATTCCCACAGCCCCCGTGTTCCCTCATTTCTAAGTTTTTTGTTTGTTTGTTTTTTTCTTTCCTAAATTAGGCCCTACGTTCTCACATATCCTTTATCATCAATTTGCATCAAATTTTATTCCCATTTCTCCCAATTTGGTCGTCAATTACACTCAACCTGTTCTCTAGCAGCAGGTGACTACAGATGTAATGTAGAGGTCATGGTGCAAAGGATCCTAGGGTGAAATGACTCTGAATCATCCCTTTAACACTTTAGGCGCCAGAGTTTTTTTCCCCAAAATGTTTGATTTTGACACTATTGTTAAGTCCTGGTTAAGTCCTGGTTCAGTCCTGGTTTAGCCCTGGCTTAGTCTTATTTTCATCCTGGTTTAGTCTTGGTTTAGACCTGGTTTAGTCCTGGTTCAGCGCTATTTTCATCATGGTTTAGTTTTATTTTCATCCTGGTTCAGTTCTGGTTTAGTCCTGGTTTAGACCAGGTTTATACCTGGTTTAGTCCTGGTTTAGCCCTATTTTCATCCTGGTTGAAACCTGGTTTAGCTTGATTAATATTTGACACCCTATTTGGCAAAATTGGCCGTTTTATTTAGAGCGGGATCTTGTCAACTTAGTTGACAGTGGCGCCTAGAGGTATAAAAATAAAAAAGTCCTGAATTAGAGTTTCATTTTGAGAAAATTCTTAGAAATCAGAAAAATCTTAGAAATGTGGGAACATAGGGCTAAAGCTCACAAGAGTAAATTTAGTGTAATATAGGCCCTTTAATATGTTTTCCAAATGATTGTTTCTCTTCCCAGACTTTCCCAGGAGCCCCACAATCGAAGTCTCTGGTAATCAGACAGAGACAGAGGTGCTGACTATAACCTGCTCGGCTGTCACTCCCTGTCCACTCGCCCCTCCTCTCCTCACATGGGACCCCCACCAAGACACTGCCCACATCACAGAAACCAACGCAGACCGGACCCTTACCACTAAAATCACACAGAACATCAGTGTGACAGACGCCCATGATGGACTTGTGATAAAGTGTAACGCGTCGTATCCTGTGAGGCGAGGATTCAAAATGTCCAGCAGTAATGTCACCCTCAGTGTCTCATGTGAGTGAAACACGCTGATGGACTCTGTTATCATAATAAAATGTATTAAAACTGCAAGAAGATGTCATTGCTTTTCTGAAATGTTCCACAGTAGTGCATCTTTTCTGTGCGTCCTCAGATGGCCCAAAAGACACCTCTGTTGCGGTCAGTCCGTCCGGTCCACTGTCAGCAGGTGAGTCAGTGGCGCTGAGCTGCTCCAGCAGAGCCAAACCTCCTGTCCACCTCTTCACCTGGTTCAGACACAGTCCAAAGGGAGCAGCCCGAGTGAGCCAGGGACACACGTACAGCTTCAACTTCACTCAAGACGGACAGTACTATTGTGTGGCCTCAAATACACTGGGAAACGAAACATCTGCGGTCATTACACTGAGTAAAACAGGTATGTCACTCAGTATTCTCTCAAGATTTTTTGATTTCATGTATTTATTTTGGACAAGCAGACATTTACATTCTCATACAATGGCACATATAACATAAATAAAATAAAATAACCACAACAAAAAATTTGCCCAAAAAAGAGTGGGAAGAATATGTATTTAAAGGTTGTATGTAGGATTTTTTTTTTGTTTCAAATTGTCAGTTAAAGTTTAAAACACCATTACAGAGAAGCAGCATCCTTGTAATTATGATGACCAAAAAAAAAAAAAAGAATGAAAATCTATCAACTGTGGACGTGTTGTGGCCAGATAAACATCAGCCAATAGATAATGAGGCTCCCTCTTTATCTATTGGCTGTTGGGTTGTTAATCAAACTCCCTACGTTTCTAGTGTAACTGACTCGGGATTATGTGGTTTATGCAGCAGTTCTTAGAGGCTTTTTCAGGCTTCCTTGCAGTTTGCACAAAGTTTGTTGCGATGGTGGACGAGAATCCATGACTGGTTCACCGCAAAAGAAAGTCCATTTTTTAGGTCACTGAAAGAAGAAGAGAAGGGGAAAAGGAGTGAAGACAAACTGACTGTGACTGAAACAGATGAAGGGTCTTAAAACTGACACGCTGGTCACTAAATTACATCTAGACAGGTCACTTCAGAAGTAATTCTAGATGCGTGCTGGCTGTAAACATGCAGGATTTCTAGAGTAAGGAGGCAGGAGGAGGTGTTTCTACTGAGGGAGCTGTAGAGGAGGGAGGTGGTGTCACACACATGCACAACATTTGAAAAAGGACTGTCACTGTATTTCTCTTCCCTTAAAAAATTCTCTATACAACCTTTAATCCTACCGCGACTCTTCTAATCTAACACAATGAGCTTTCTTTTGCTTTTTTCAGACATTTTGCAAGAAGCTGCATATAAGATAACTTTTATTTCAGTAAATAATCCGAATAGCCTGTCTACATGCACACACACACACACGCACACGCGCACATGCACATGCACACACACACACATATGCACATACAAAAGCACACACACATAATGTCCACACTGTCACCAGCCCATCACCGTTGTCCTTATTTGCATGTAATCTTTGATCGTAATGTTTGTCTTGTATCTTGTATCTTATTTTGGTTCCCATTTCTTAATGTAATGTAATGGGAAAAAAAAAAAAGAACCTTTATTTGGTGAAATTCCAGATGGGAGATTCTGTCCTTTGTCACGTGCTGCAGGTGTGAACCAGAGAGGTGCCATCAGATGACCCTCTGTGGTTTTACATCATACATAAAGGCTATTTTCAGACTGCAGGGCTTAATGCTCAATTCAGATTTTTTTTTGTGAAATCCTTTTTTTTTCTTGCGAGATCCTTCACATTTCCAATTAAATGCGACTTGTATGTGATCTCCAGTGTGAACTTTAAATGCCTCCAAAGTGTCATGTGCGTTGGAGGACACGATGACGTCATACGCAGCGAGTGTGCTCAGTGTTTACGGAAGTCGCTTAAAAGCTGGGCTTGTCTCCCAAAATCTGGTCCAGTTCTTGGTAAAATGGACAGGTTACACGTCCATGGCTACTTCGTTTGTTTGAGACTCTTGTATTTGGCTCACAGGTTCTTTTATTTTTGTTGATATTTCGATAATACCCCACTAATCTGGCCTAAATACAGTGATCCCCCCAAATATTAATAAACTCTCTAACCTCGCTTTCTCTCCATTGACTAGACTCCAGGCTTGACGTTTAGGTGGGATGAATGTGACCTGACCGTTCAGACTGCAGTCGCATGTCAAAAGATCGGATATGTATCAGTTTAAGGAGCACATATCCAAGTTAGTGGAGCAGTTAAGGACCAAAAAAGTGCCCAATTGTTCACTTTTATGGTACAAGCATGAAACTTTGTCAGATTATTATCATCCCTAGGACCAACATTTCTGGATATGGAAGGCTCCAGTCTGTGTGGTGAACAATGGAGAGATATTGTGAATAGGTAGAAACAGAGAAAGATTTAAAAAGAAAACATTTAAGATTGAACTACAACTGGACAATGCAGCATAAGGCATAAAGGTGCACTATATAACTTTTTGGTCGGAGTCCACCACCTGCTTGTTTCTATGGATATGTCATTGCTCTCCCTGGAATGTTCCACAGTAGGACATTAAATAGCTCTACTTTACATTCATTCAATTACAGGTGGTTTTACAGCTCAAAAATACATAAATGACCTCTAACTTGGTCTGGTTTCATTTCCATGATAAGAAAAAACACTGTGACACATTCCAGATAAAGCAATGACATCTCCATTTGATGAACCCTCCACCAGAAAAGTTACACAATGCACCTTTTTAAAGTAAATTTTATACATGGTATTGCAAAGAAAGAAATAGTCGCATAGTTAGAAGGCTACGTTCAATATAGTAAACAAAGCATACATAGAGAGATTTTAAAAAGGCATTTAATATTACAACAAATACATCTGGACAATGCAGACATTAGGCTTCAGTGTATGGATAATGGATCCTAATTTAAGTAAGTTTTTCAGGTAAAAATATGTATAAAAAGTATATTACTTTAATTGAATCTTATAAAGACATACAGTAATACAAAATACATATACTTTAGTGCAAATTCAATACAAAAAGGAATCACTTCATAAGGCCTTGTATTCTAGTTTATTTCTTTCTTTCATTTGGTTCGTGTATGTACGGTATTTGGAAATAAGTATATAAAAGAAGGCTTTTAAAATTGTAGCAAATACTACATCTGGTAAATACACAAAATGAGCTTCAATGTGGACAATGAAGTAAGTACCACAAGGTCATTAAATGTACTTCTTACAAAAGACTTGAACAAGGGCTTTCTCTGCAATAACTGAATCTGATTAATAATAATCTGAAGAATCCGTGTATGATTCATTCATTCGTTTTTCATTATAAAACCAAAAATAAGAAAACGAAAAAACAACAGTTTTCTTCATGGACCAGACCGGGACCAGAGCGGGACTGAGACAGAGACCAGACCGAGACTGAGATCAGAACTGTAACCGGGACCAGACCGAGACTGAGACCAGACTGGGACCGGAGCAGGACTGAGACCGAGACCAGACCGAGACCAGACCGAGACCAGTCTGAGACTGAGATCAGAACTGAAACCGGGACCAGAGCAGGACTGAGACCAGACCAAGACCAGAGCAGGACTGAGACCGAGATCAGGCTGGGACCATACCAGAGGCTCAGTGCCCCCCGCAGGGCCGGAGCTCGAAGCTGAGGCTCAGACCCCGTGGAGGCTCAGAGTCAAAGCTCAGAGTCCGCTCGGAGTCCGCTCTGGTCCTGCTTTGGTCCCGGACCTGGATCAGTCCTGGTTCAGTCTGTATGCATCACGGAAGTCACGTAAACAGGAAACGGCCATTATCCGTTTTTTCCATTCTTCATTTAAACACAAAATCGAAAACTGAAAAAAATGAATCATTATCCGTTTTTTCATTTTGGTTTTGGAGACAAATAATGAAGAAAACTGTTGTTTTTTCTTATTTTTGGTTTTCTATTGAAAAACGAATGAACGAACGATACAGGGATTCTCCATCTCGGTCTTTGCTCTTCCTGTACTACACTTTTCTGGACTGAGAAGCCTGATATTTTTCCTGGTATCTGCTGTAGCCTCCTCCAGTTTGGGGGTACAGTACCGAGTGCTCCGAACACCATAGGCACCACTGATGCCTTCACCTTCCAGGCCTTCGCCAGCTCCTCCTTGAGCCCCTGGTATTTCTCTAGTTTCTCATGTTCCATTTTCCTGATATTACCATCACTTGGTATTGTGATGTCCACCACCACAGCTTTGTTCTGTTCTTCTCCACCACCACTATGTCTGGTTGGTCCATCACCATCCTGTCAGTCTGTATCTGGAAGTCCCACAAGATCTTGGCTCAGTCATTCTCCACAACTTTTGGAGGTGTTTCCCACCTTGATCCTGGGGTCTCCAGCCCGTACTCTGCACAGATGTTTCTGTACATTATGCCTGCCACTTGGTTATGTCGATCCATGTTTGCTTTCCCTGCAGCATCTTACACCCTGCAGTTCTGTGCTGGACTGTCTCAGGAGCCTCTTTGCACATTTTACACCGTGGGTCTTGTCTGGTGTGATAGATCTGGGCCTCTATTGCTCGAGTGCCCAGGGCCTGCTCCTGAGCAGTCAGGATGAGCCTTTGTGTGTCCTTCAGACCTGCCCTCTCAAGACATCGGGAGGATTTTTTTAAAATATCAGCCAGTTCAGCTATGTTTTGGTGGTATGCTGCCATGATGGTCCCTCCAGCACCTCTTTTCTCTGAACTCCAGTGTCTGAGACATTCTTTGAGCACGTCATCTGTCGGGGCCTTGTCCTTAATCGGAATTAAAATTCTCATGCTTGTACCATAAAAATGAACTATTTTGGTCCTTAACAGCTCCACTAAGTAGCCTGGGTCACAACTGAAAAAAATTTAATCTGTGTCATTCAGACTGTCATTAAAAGATCAAATACAGGAGCCTTCAGGCTGCAGTCTGAACGTAACCTTAGTTATGCACTTACACCTGTGTAATTCTTCTGAATAATAAATATCAAAGTGCTAATTATACAAGAATATGAAAAAGAGATAAGAGATGAAACAAAAGTTCATTCAGACTGAATGATCTTTAACTTTAGAACCTGGTGTTGTGAGTTGGATTGGCCCCTACAACGTCGTGAAGCTCTGTGGAATTATACTGCTCTACGGCTCCCTGGTCCTTTTTGAATGGTGAGACTAAAACTTGACTCTTGTGAGGTTTAAGCCATGTTCTAATGCTGTTACCTCCTCGAAAACAGACCTGGAGTTGTGTTTTGTTTCACACATGTTTGAACAGCCCTTTATTACTATCGTATTTTTCGGCTAGCACTCATGCCTCACAGCAAAAAGGTTCTGGGTTCGATCCCTGCGTCTTCCGGGCCTTTCTGTGTGGAGTTTGCATGTTTCTCCCCGTGTTGGGTTTCCTCCGGGCACTCCGGTTCCCCCCATCAACCCAAAACATGCTGCAGGTCTCCATAAACAGTTGATGTCAAGGTCAGTGAAATACAATCAATTCAATCATTGTGTGTCCTGACCCAAGACACTTCACCCACATTGCCTAGTATGAAATTGGTGTGTGTATGTGTGTGTGTGTGTGAGTGATGGTGGTGGTGGTCAGAGGGGACCGATGGCGCTGATTGGCATGGCAGCCGCTTCTGTCAGTGTGCCCCAGGGCAGCTGTGGCTACAATAGTAGCTTACCATCACCAGGGTATAGAGTGAATGAATAATGCTGAATAATGCTCTGTAACGTGTCTTTGGGGACAGAAAATATCTGTGAAAAGCGCTACATAAATAAAGACTTACTTATGTTCTGTTGTTTATGCTATAGTTATCTGAATAACTGCTATTATGTTAACGTATTCATGCCTATTCAGTCTGTTGTTCTCTGTTCTGTTGTTGTTACTATAACTTGCCTTTCAAGATGAAATGTCAGTTCCTGGTCTCTGATTTTATAAAATAAATTTCCCCAAAAAGTGCGAAGTATAGTTCGATGCAAATTATATATGTTTTTTTCTTCTTCATTGCGCATTTTTTTGGCTGGTGCGACTTATATTCCGAAGCGATTTATAGTCCAAAAAATATGGTAGTCTGTCTCTGGCTCTTAGCTTTAGTTCAGTGGAGAGGGGGCTGAAATGAACCAAATGATTCTAGTGAAGGTGTATGAGGTGTAAAAACATAGTGGAGCACTTCCTGTATTACCGTGTGACACAAGATGGAACAGAGTGTATTGTGTAACAGAAGGACATGACTTAAATATGCAGGGTTTGTGTGTTAAACATGTGAATGAAACAAAACACAACTCCAAGCCTGTTTGTTATGAGGATTCTAACACAGCAGATCAGAAAACAACGTAATATGGGCCTATGGGTTAAAATGAAATTCTTTTTTTTTTTTCAGCTGGTTTAGAACAACTTATGCAAAGAAACAGGAACAGGTAAAAGTGTAATACCTCTTTGTCATGCTATTTAACTAACTTCTCTTTGCCTTGTTGTTCACAGAGACCAGATGCAAATGTCCGCAGTGCCATTCCAAGTCAATCTTAAAACTTGTTTTTTTAAAACTGGCTTATGTTGTATTTTATCATACACCTGCAAACCAATACATACTAGAGTCGGCTTATATTGAATAGTGCTTATGCATTTATATGGCAGAAAGTTAGTGCAGTTTATAGTAGGTCTAAGTAGGGCTGGGTACTGAAGCTTGGTTGCAAGTGGGAAAGAACCAAAAAGATTCAGTAAGTACTGCTACCGAAAAAACTAACATCCCAACTTTTGGTTCTTTGGCTTTACATGTCCACATCAATGAGCCACGAACAGAGTTCCCACTCTTTTTCACTGAGAACATTTCAAAACTTTTCCATGACTTTTTCATGACCTAAAGTAAATTTTCCATGACTTTACGGCACCTACATGTGTAGAATTTATCATACTTTTAGGGCTAGATATGAAATGTTAACCCTTTCCACGCACCTTATGGTTTGGGATAGTAGTTTTTTAACATTGAAAATCCTATCAGTGCATTTATTGTTGTCTCTTTTAAACAAAAGGCACATACCTTCAGAAATAATAATGGTCTAATGAGAACTTAACAGAACGCTGTAGTTGTGTCAAAGACATACTGAAATTCCATGACTTTTCCAAAACTTTCATTAAATTTACAAAATCCCATGACTTTTCCAAGCCTGGAAATTACATTTTTAATTTCCATGACTTTTCCAGAATTTCCATGACCGTGGGAACCCTGCAGTAAACACACCAATTTATCAATACGTGTAGTTAATAAGATTAACTGAGATTCAGGAGCAGGACCACGCCTCCTGACCACACACACTGACAAAAATTTGGTTAAATAAAACAAAAGTAATGTGGCAGTACAACATAAAAACTGAAATGAAATTCCTTTTCTTTCTCTCTTCCTTTTTTTCTCTCCCATTTTTCCTATACTTAAACTAATATTATTTTCACCATCATCATTTCCTTTCATCATCTTTTACTATTTATTACAAACTCAAAGCATCATTTTAAAGACATTTTCCCTCCCTCATTTTTAAATAAACATTTTTAATCCCTATACTTAAACTGAATTAACATAGTTATAACATAATTCAATGATTGAAAAGTATTTTATTAATAATATTGGCTATTAATTTACATTTTAAAAAATACAGGCTCCAAAAAAGGATCGTTCAGGAACCAGTATCGGTATTATTAAAGTACTGGTATCGAAAATAATAATAATAATAATAATCAAGCGGTACCCAGCCTTATGTTATTCCTGAGTCAAACTCTTCTAATTTGTCAAGAACTAATTCCAGCCTGATGAAGAAGCTCTGAAGACTGTGTTGGCTCACTCGTGCCATCACTGATCACACAAAGTTAACGTTATCTTTGATTTTCTGCTCTTGTTATATGAAATAAACTCTAAGTGTAAATAAAATACCTCATGTTCATTCAAGTGATGAGGATATCTTTTTCCGCTGTACTTTTCCAAATGTCTCAAGACAATAGCAGCAATTTTGGCCTGTTATGAATTCCTCTCCATGATGTAATGGGTAAAGTTTAGGTGCAATTCATTTTGTAACCAGAAAGGAACTTCAGGTCAGAGGATCGATTTCCGCTCGGACCAAGTTCTGCCGTTGTGTTCTTAGGTGAGACACTTCACCTGCATTGACTACGGGGAGGATATGGCACAGGAGTCAGTGGGACCACGGATCAGGCAGAGCAATGTGTGGGTCTACACGGTACAGGTCACTTCTTCACAATATCTGACTTACCTTTAGAGTGGAAATTTTTATCTTTTTTTATTCAACAGAAATGTGCAAAATTTAATTGCCATTGGATGTAGCCTTAGTTGAGGAGTAAGTGTCAGTCTTAAATTGATGTAGGTTTTTGTTGCGATATTAAAAATAATGAGTAGGGTATCTCATATTGTTGTCTTTTTAAAGAGGATGTATTAGGCAATTATTATTATTGTTTTAACTTTCTACCATGTTATAATGTTCTGTGGTGGATACCTTTCATTTACATTAAGTGTATTATGGCATACATAATTTAATTCTTTGTCTAGTTAGTTAGTGGAGCTGTTAAGGACCAAAATAGTTCGCTTTTATGGCACAAGCATGAAACTTTGCCAGATTACGAATGCCCCCAGGACTAATATTTCTGGATATGGAACCAAGTCTAATTCAACACTGGAGCTGAGAACTGCACATGTCACAAAATGGACTACATGAAACTAGGCTGGCATAAAAAAAAAAAACAAAACACACTGCATAATCCCTTTCTTATAGTCTAATTTACTTGGTTATCAATTTTGTAATGTTGAACAACATTTTTTTCTAAACTCCAAAGCATTAAAGAGGTCACCTTTTCCATGAGAATGTAAGGATTGTGTGGGTTCCCTGTAGTTGAAAGTTACCACCGGACCATAACTGAAGTGGCTGATATCAAGAAATCTTACCAATGGCTTGAGAGGGCTGGTCTGAAGGACACACAAAGGCTCATCCTGGCTGCACAGGAGCAGGCCCTGAGCACTCGAGCAATAGAGGCCCTGATCTCCCACACCAGACAAGACCCACGGTGTAGGTTGTGCAAAGAGGCTCCTGAGACAGTCCAGCACAGAACTGCAGGGTGTAAGATGCTGCAGGGAAATCAAACATGGAGCGACATAACCAAGTGGTGGGCATAGTGTACAGAAACATCTGTGCAGAGTACGGGCTGGAGACCCCATGGTCAAGCTAGGAAACATCTCCAAAGGTTGTGGAGAACGACCGAGCCAAGATCCTGTGGGACTGTGGTGATGGACCAACCAGACATAGTGGTGGTGGATAAGAACAGAACAAAGCCAAGAGATGGAACATCAGGAAAAAGGAACACGAGAAACTAGAGAAATACAAGGGACTCGAGGAGGAGCTGGAGAAGGTCTGAAGGTGAAGCATCAGTGGTGCCTGTGGTGATCAGAGCACTCAGGGCTGTAACCCCCAAAACTAGGGATGGGCATTCGATAAACATTTTCTTCATCGAACATAGGGAGAATGAACGATTAATTATCAATTAATCATTAACGTTTTTATATTAAAATGATCATCATTATTATTACTATCTCCACTACCAATCTGCATAAATAAATTCAACTTTACGACATATAAACCGTAACCACTATAGAGCCACAACAGCCCGTTTGATATTATGTGTATAAACTTTGTGCAAGTCTCACAGAAACGAAACTTAAAACCGCATGGCTCATTTGCATAAACTAAGCAAAGAAAAAACAGCTCTTGTGCACCGATGTGGTCAACTTCTGTCGGACTAAAGGACACGACTCAGTGGAATACAGGCTAGTGTGACCATATTTGCGTTTGTCAAAACCAGGACACCGTACGGGGGGTGGGAGGTGGGAGGGGAGGGAGGTGCCTTGTCGTCGACATTGAGCGACTCTCACCCGGCAAAGCTTTTGTGTCCTGATTAGCTTTTTCCCACTGGACACAGAAACATATGTGCTGCTTTGTACACTGTGCACATGGACTCCCACTTGTCTCAACCAGAACGGAAAGTGGGGAATTTCTTGTACAAGTCATTGTTAAATATACATTTGTGCTTCGGCATGTTGCAGGCTGACCGACTGTTTGTGTCTGATCGCTCCTTCTGAGTGCAGAGAGCTACGAGAGCCGCTCAGTTTAATGGCCCAATGAAAGGTAATGAAAACCTGAACATTTGCATCACTTTATAAAAAAAACCCGGACAGCCAGGACAGGACATGGAAAACGGATGTTTGGTCACCCTATGCTACGCACAACAACCTACACTCGGTTTGTCGATTAAAAATGAACGTAATCAACGAAATTCTTAATGATCAATTATTGATTAATCGCCTAATCATGCCCATCCCTACCCCAAACTGGAGGAGGCTACAACAGATCCCAGGAAAAACAACAGAACATCTCATTCTGAAAAAGTGCAGTACAAGACAACAAGAACAGCAAAGGTCACGCACTCCCAGGCCTCTGGGAGAGGAGCCGAGCTGGATGAGAGAGACCAACCAAACCAACAAAAATAAGATACATTAAACAAGTGCATTATGTATGTTTTCAGATGGAGGGTCCTTCAGATGCTTTTACCATGGAGATGTTCTTGCTGAGAAAGCCGTTGGTACAGAGAAAGCACTTGTTCATATAAGTAGGTAGTCTATTTAAAAACCTTTAATATCCTTAATGCAACCTCATTTTACCATGAGTAGTTTTATGTATTTTAGCATGTTAGTGTGTGTGGGTGTGTGTGTGTGTGTGTTTGTGTGTGTGTGCGTGTTTGTGCGTGTGTGTGTTTGTGTTGTTTGGTTGTGTGGAGTCGGGCAGTTGTGTGTGTTGGGTTCGGTGGAAATACGGGATTGTTTTTAATCTCTGTAAAGCACTTTGTGTTACATTTTTGTTTTAGAAGTGCTTTATAAATAAAGTTTTATTTGATTTGATTTGATAAAAGTACTTCAAGAGTGAAAAAATGCATAGCACACTCAGATGGTTGATGTCCAAAAGTTTATTTATTTTCAAAATAATGTTTCGGCAAAAAAAAGCATCAGATATTTTTCTTGCTTTGAACCACAGCACACAGAATGGTTGCCAACCCAGGTGCCCATACACCCCTTCAATGAATGGGAGGTCCCAAAGTGAGGTCACCCAGTGGGTTCAGCCCACTCTACAACAAGAAACAACAGTTTAGATATTTTACATAAAAAACATTTTATAAAATACAGAATAATAAAATACAGAAAAAGTCCATCACACAGAAAACATCTTAGATCAAACTCCACATTCAGTCCGTGAGGAGTGAGAGTCTTAAGTTGGTGAATCCAGAAGTGTTGTCTTTTTGACTGGAGCATTTCTAGATTCACCACAGGAGAAGGTGATCATATAAATCACAGACTTGGTGTTGCAGGATATAATTCCTCTGATCAGTATTTCTTTGCCAGTGTGAGGGTGTTTAAAACTGTTGCAGTGATACTTGTAGTTACACTTACACTTATTTTTTTTCAACCAAAACTTTAAATGTAGCATATAAAGCATAAAGAGTATTCACCTCACAATAACTGATCATGTGTATTTATAGTCAGGATTTGGAAGTACCGTATTTTCCGGACTATAAGTCGCATCAGATTATAAGTTGCGCTTTTGGGAGAAATGTATTTTGTAAAATCAGAGACCAGGAACCGACATTTCATCTTGAAAGTCAAGTTCTAGTAAAAACAACAGAACAGAGAACAACAGGCTGAATAGGTGTTAATATGTTAACATAACATATGAACAGTTATGTTCTGTTGTTTATGCTATAATTAACTGAATAAGTTTACCAAACTCACTCAGTCTCATTCCAACTCACTAAATCCATTGAATTCTTTCTCTGTGTCACTTCTGCACAACCTCCGGAGGTAAATCATAAATTCATGAGGTAAACAGAGCGCCACTTCCTCTTCTGTGTAACTGTCGTCAGGCTCAGCATCAGTTCCAGTTAGAATTATTCCAGCCTTTCTGAATCCACAGGATGGTTTCGATTGTCACTGAAGTTCAGGCTTTGTCGATTCATCCAGTGACTTCCAGGAAAGTTACATGGTGCACCCGCCCGGTTACCATGAAGCTGTACTCTCCATCCCCGCTTTCCGCCAGTCAACCACAAGTCGCAAGTCTCGCTCACTCCAAACTTTCTTTCTGCCGCTCGATTACTGTTTTCGGCTGAATATTTCACTATTTACAGTGAGACAGCAGCTTTTTCTACAGGAGGCATGTAGTAGAGTGCGAAGTGACAGTGGTACAGGAGTAAAAGTAATACTAGATACTGACACATGAGCCTAGAGCGCCCTCTCATGGCTGTCTGTCTGAAAGTTTTAACATATAAGTCACACCAGGACCACCCAAAACATGAAAAAAAAGTGCAACTTATAGTCTGAAAAATACAGTATAAAAATGGCATCAATGATTATTTGGTGTATTTTCTGTTACTATAATTTAAACCCTGTGTATGTTTTACAGGTGCTGATTGTTGTCAACTAAGTGATCTGTTCATTACAACTCCACGTCAAATGGAGGCTCTGAGTGGCTCTTGTTTACAGATCCCATGCACCTATACTGCTCCATTCAAATACATAAAGAAAGCATTCCCTGCCACTGGCATGTGGTTTTAAACAGAATTATGTGTATGGTACAAGTTCAGCGTTTTCAGTCAGTGGAAACCCCAATATGTCTTATCCTATGAATTTCACTGGGGATCTGAAAAACAAAGATTGCAATACAATGTTTTATAATTTAAGCCAAAGCCATGAAGACATATATTACTTTGGATTAGTAACAGAATTCTTTACAAACATAGCTGTTTTTAACCATCTTCAAATAACAGTCAGAGGTAAGACACTTTTCCTATAATTTATTTGACTATTATAAAGCAGAGAGTGAA